GCACCCGGCCAATGAAGCCCCCCATGGTGGCGAATAATCAGCTCATCAACGCTGTGTTCCCCCAGAGCACTATACCTGTTTGTTATGATCAGCTCATCAACGCTGCATTCCCCCAGAGCACTATACCTGTTTGTTTTGACTGCTTGAGACTAGTGTGTCTGCCGCATGTGATGTGTTGTTGGTTAAGGAGCGGATTAATGACCCATGATGTTATTGTCAGTGCTACACTACCTGTTGGAATTAATTGTACTACTTTGGGAATGGATCTGGCCGTTGTGGGTAACTATACGTGTTAAGATCTACAATGTGGTGGTTCATGTAATGCAACGCTTAGGCTCAAGGTCTCCATCACCATAAATTTTACCCTCTATAACACTGGTAAGTAAGAGGTGCTATTATGAATGAATGAAGAACAAGCAGCTGGTGTTGTCGCATGTAAACATCCAGCTGAATCGGAGGCAAGATGGCCGTGTAGTATGTATGTCCAACGTTTTGCTTACTAGGCGTTGGAGTGGCTGCAGTGCCTACTGCATTTTCATTAAGAGTATTAGGTATTCGACAGAAAAATGTACGTACATGTGTAGTAGGCTATTTCGGATGCACTCCAGGTCGCCTGTTAGTCGATACTTGAGCTCTGTCACTTGTTGACGTAAAATGTCATACGGTTGCCAGCTGTCAACGTTGCTGTGACAATGATGTCAAACAGGGAAACGATTACATTTAGACTTATTCTCGGGCCATGATCACTGTAACAATCGACAAATAGACTGTATTTACAAAACTAACAATTTCTTGATATGTATAAAACACTTTCTTCAAAGTAGGAAACATACACTTGATTACAATGTATTACTGCATTCCTAATACGAGGTGTGAGCCAAGTCCAGATTGACTTGCCGTCCGGTCCAGATCCAGACCCAAGTCTGAACTTTGAGAAACCCTGCTCTCTATGTTCAGTAGCTTTTGGAAAAGAGCACACATAATTGGCGAGACCAAGTATTTTCTAAATGCTACAATTTCCTCTGGGGTCAGACAAAATAAAGCACAGAGTCAGTAGAGCCAATATGAGGATGTGATCATGTGTTACAAGCTTAAATAGAGCATTACTGTATCCAATGACAAGGAGTACACTGTCCTGCTATATTTTACTATATTTTATTATACTGAGATGCCTGACAGAAACATGAATGAGAATATCAGCTCCCTCTCAACATCTCTTGTAGTTCAGCTGTTCCTTGATGCATTATCGCAGACTCTGTCTGCCCACACAGCCACAGGGCAGCCCTGAGAAAATCCTACTTTGTGTGCATAGCTGTTGTGTTACGCCATGGTAAGGCTTATGGGAAGTACTCCTATGCATTCCCAGGAGTGTCTGACTCTGTATGTGTATGTCAGTTATTATATTTGTGTGTTTGCAACTATGAACGTCTGTGCTTGTGTACATTTTGTGAAACCATTCAAGCGTGTCTCAGTTGCCTGGTCTTTTCCACTATGAAAAACAGAAACAAAAACCGTCACAGATTCCTTCACATACCAAACAGAGCAGTGAAACATGGTCCCTCTGTTCCAATCTTGTCCACACTCTAACCTTTTGGAGGAAGGATGATGCAGTTTGGTTCAGACTACTATTGGGGCTGTTTAATATCACCTTCCTGTGGTGGAAAACACAAATGGCCTGCCATGGGAGGGATGTAGAGCTACACTGCCTGCCTCATATCTACAAACATGGAGGGATAATTTTACACATCAAAGTCTGTTTCCAGGTCTTGGTGACTACCACCGCAAATGTGAACAAAGTTGTATAAGCGGGAACTAACTGTATGATTGCTAATAACTGCCTCAAGTGAAATCACTTTAAAAACACTGGGTTTTCCCTGCCATAGAAAGGCTTAGGCGCAGCAGCTAAGTGTTTGTGCAGGGCACTGAAGCGAAATTAATGTGAAAATGAATGTAAAGACAATGGTGAGTTATATGTGCTGAAAAATAACAGAGGTGACGTGATCTAAAAATGAAACATAAGCTGGCACCAGGAATGACCTCTCAATCAACAGTCAGTGTTTGGACAAACATTTGTGTGACTGGCAGCATCACCCAGCTAATCAACCAGCTGAATGGATATTCCTCTAGGGGTATAAGTCAACTAGGGGTATAGGTTTAGCCTCCACAAAGAATACATAAAGTAGGCTATAACTCGGTTGGGGAGTAATTCTTGTGAATGGTAACAACAGAGAAGAATGTAGCCCAATTTACAAGAAACTGCTAACGTAGCTAACACACGAATTAGCTGAGCTATGTTAGCCAAGAAAGCTAGTTAATTGACATTGCTTAAATGTTACAAGTTCTAATTTCCTTCAAATAATATTAACCCCTAGATCTCGAGGCCAGACTAGAACAAAACACCCCATAAGTGTCACAGTATCATCTTGATTCAAAATACAGCAAAATTCAGCTCCCATTGAAAAACTGGGCTGGCATGACAAATAAATCTTGACTCATTTCTCGACTGTATGAAATGTTCTATGAACAAAGGAATAATGGCTTCCTGTGTTCTCAACCCAGCAACCACTGAGAGCACCCTCTTTCCTTCCAACCAAGATCAAAGTGAGACCGTCGGCTCCGTTCAACTCTAGTTTTCGCCCCCTGTTTTATCTCTTTCACTGACCGTTCTTCTCTATTGTCCATCAGCCTCCTGAACAAATAGATCATATGGGGGGAAAACAGAAATGTAAGAGCAGATGTGAGTGCATCTTGTTCTGGTTGTGTTCTACTGAGGATTACAGTCATGCAGTGTTTTTGAAAATGATGAAAAAACATTACCAGCTAAACACTGGCAGACTCCTGTCTCAGTACGTGATTAATCTAAATATACAGTCTTTAACCCATGAGAAGTCTCCCAGACTGTGGCCGGTGGAGCCTTAAACTAATGAGGTGTGATCAAATTGAGCTGTATCTGTTTGGTGTGGACTGGCTGTTTGTGACACAGAGCGAGTGAAATGGCACTTTTACATCTGCTTGGTAACTGACTGACCTTTACCACTGGAGGAACCTACCAACCCGTAATGGAATGTATACACCCATCAGGTTGTACTTTGGTTCCACTGTCCTCCACTTGCTTTAGAAGAGAGTTCTTGGAGATAAAGTTGGAGATAATGAGTACTGTGATTGTTCACTTGACTTTCTCTGCTTGGCTGTTTGTCTATGTAAATAGGGAACATGGGGATAAATACAATGGAAAAGCAAAGCGAAATGAACATCATCAGCCCTTCAACTTCATGTATGAGAAGCTCCAGGTTATGACTCGTTAACTTCCTGTGGTGGAAAAAACACTATCAGCGGTATAAACAGAAAACATGAAGGCCCCAAAGCTACAATTAGACCTGGATGAAGTGGCAAACTAACACCATACATGGCTGTGAGATAACATGCTGCATTTAAGCACCATAATTAAACACAGACTGTGGCTCATTTTATTACTGATGTGCTAGGTTTTGTGACTTCCTGACGCAAATTAAAAAGGGAAAAAATACTGACAAAGGAGATGTCGATAAAAATGTCTGTGACTTATCAAAGATAGAAGTTGTAAGACAGCAAATAAACCACTATTCTTAATATTGATTTAGTCTGCTAATTAAGCATGTGGTCTAAAGTGTCAGAAAACAGTGATGACTATGAATCACACTTTCCTAAAACTCCTTTCTTCGAGGTGATGACTTCAAGGTGTCTTCATATACTTAAAGCACACACTGATTGTTGTAAATCACTGATTTACACCAATATACGAAGACTTCTGTAGCCTGTAGAGTCAGAAAGGACCACATACAGAGTAAATGGTGGAACAGGTACGCTACCAGTCATGCTACAAGGTGAGAGGTGAGAACATGAACACTGGTTTTCATTATTGCACCAGTATGTTCTTAGTCAGTTAACTGTCATGTTGTAGTTATCATCACTATTGTCCCACTTCTGCATTTTCACATGCACCTGTTCCTCAGTCAGCTGCTTCACATTATACTGTGTAACAATACTAACTGGTTTCGCTGCCTGCTCTTCCCACTCTAAACTGCAAACATGAATCCTTGACTGCTGAACAAACAGATAAGGCAAAGTCACCTGCACGGATACTCTGAACTGTTCATCAATCCATGCTTGCATGTCAACCAATACAATGACATTTCAACATAAATGTCACACAAATGTCACTAAACAATGACCCATTAAGGTCAAAATACTGCTTTCTGGAGATGCCAAATAGGAGCTGGACATGGTGTGGGTAATGTGCATTGTTTTTTTTAACAAACTCCACTACTGTACCTGTGCACACACAACACTTTGAAGGCACAAGGCCACACCAAGGGACCCACATCATAGCAAATACAAGATACAGGTCAACACCATGGGCCCTGCTAGTGCTCTCTGCACAAACCCTGTCACAAAACCAGAAAGTGCCCCATCATGCATTATTAACAAGAGACAAACGATCAATTTCCAATTCAGCTGAGTGGTTTGGTGGTTCCCCCACTAAGACTGCCCTGTTATGGCATGTTATGATGGTGCGTTTCTGAAGTGGTTTCAGTCTCCCCACTGAGGTTACTACTTGATCATTATACAGAAATATGATTTTATATAGTGTTATATTTTCATACACACCTGTCCTTGATTTTTATTTTCTGTCACAATTCCTTTTATGACTCCTGTTACACAAAATTGTGTGTAACCTATGTGAAACTTCCAACCTATAAAAATTTCAAATCAGATGAAACTGCCCACCATTAAGGCCATGTGAGGAATGGTCACAAGTAGATATTTTTTTTACTGTAGGGGGTTATAAGACAAAAACAGAGAAAGGGAACCACTTATCCAAATTTATTTGAGAAACAAAGAACTTGCTAAAGAACTTCCCAAGATCCTGTACTAAAAAAATCTTTACAAGGGCAAGACAACAGAAATTGTGTATTCGACCATGGAAGCAGGCTGTAGGACATCCAACTTCATCAACTTACTTGAATCGAGTCGTTGGCCATGGTCGTCTCAGTAGCTGTTTTCAGTCTGTGCAAATTCACAGACAACTTGTGGGACCTGTCCTTCGGGTCAGCGTATTGTCTCCTTCCCAAGGCAGTAGAATAAAACGGTAGCTGGAAAAAGGACCGGCTCTTCGTCCCGAATTTACTCAATCACTCTGACACAAAGGCAAACAGTCAAGTGGTAATCCGCATTGTTGGCTTGCCCGGCCGCGCCTGAATTAATCCTCCCAGTGCGTCTCAATGTCTTTAACCAACGTTAGCCCTTCGCAAACATAAAGCTGGGTTCACTGTATGCATAAGACACGTCGGTCACATAAGCGCATCCAAACACAACTACTGAGGACCAGGGTCATTGTTCATCTTGCTCTTTGGGTGCTGGCGATTTAACCGCTAGCAAGAGCCCTATACAAGCCACCAGCAGCCGCTCCTCCCTCATGTTCTGCTGTAGCCGACGGGTGATAAAGTCACATCCACAGACTGCAAAAGGAAAAAAGGACCCTTTTCCCCCTCTTCTTTCTCCGGTAACATCCGTGAACCGTGAACAAGCCGCAATCTCTTGTCTCTATTACATGCCACAGACAAAAAGACGCTCATGCAGTCAGATTGAGAGACGATTCAAAAATGATCCTCTGTCCATTAAATATCTCTGCCTTTCTCCATTATGGTACTCGAGATGGTGAAGACAACACCTCACCACATTCAAACAGCGGCTGACTGTCGGGAGAGCACCACTCACCCTTTGTACACCATACCCTGCTGCGCCTAGCGTTATGCGGCGGGGGCGCGCCCGGATGTATCATGTAACCTGGTGTCGCAGTTGTTGTCACCTTAACTTCTAATGAACAAATTGTTGAACGTGTCACCTTATGTGCAGGGCGGAATAACTACTCCGAAGTAATGGTAGTAACATCAAAGTGTAAAAATGCTTTCAGTCATGTTTAAAATGGTATTTCATTGTTGTAACATTGTAGATAAGTCAGAAAACTCAGAATAGCATGCCATGGGATATTTAAATGATCAAAATAGGAGCAATTATGCAGAATGGCTTGCTTCATAGACTGTTGTATTATTATTACAGATGCATTATCAGGTAGGCTATTACTATGCTATTACTTTGCTAGTTTTAACTACTTTAAATAATTATGTCTTGTACATAAAATAGGGTGGGTGATACCACAACAATTGGTTTTGTAATGGAGGTACTGTAGTCATAAATCAAATCAAATGTATTTATATAGCACTTTAAAAACAACATCCAGCTGACCAAAGTACTTTACATGGCAGAATAAAATCACAATAAATGACTAAAATAGAATAAATAACATCAGTGCAAAAAATACCAAATAAAACTGCACAATAACACGGACACACAGATGACATACGTTCAATAAATTAAAATTAAAAGGCATGTATCAGGCCCTACTGTGTATTAAAAGCCAAGCCAAATAAATATGTTTTAAGCAATGATTTAAAAGTAATGAGGTTAGTAGCTGACCTAACATTAAAAGGTAGACTATTCCACAATTTAGGGGATACAATGGTAAAAGCACAGTCACCCCAGCGTATATATCTGGCTCTAGGAACCTCTAAAAGAAACTGGCTTAAAGATCTGAGGGACCTTGTAGGTTTGTGCCAATACACTAATTCAGTGAGGTAAGATGGTGCCAAACCATTAAGAGCCTTAAAAACAAAAATCAATAGCTTAAAATCAATTCTAAAATGGCCATAAAGCCAGTGGAAAGAAGCGAGTAGCGGGGTTATATGGTCCAATTTCCTAGTACTTGTCAAAAGATGAGGAACAGCATTTTGCATCATTTGGAGACGAGCGAGGTAGGACTGGTTAACACCATAGTATAGAGCATTGCAATAATGAAGTCTAGAAGTGACAAATGCATGGATTGCAATCTCAAAATCATTAAAAGAAAGGAATGGCTTGACCTTGCTTAACAGCCTCAGGTGGAAGAAGCTAGATTTCACAACTGAGTTGATTTGCTTGTCAAATCTCAAGTCACCATCAAACATTACCCCTAGATTTTTTACAGTCGACTTCAGATGTCAAGCTAGGGGGCCCAGACCCTGGTCAGGAGCAGATAAGTTTGCCAGGTCACTAAATAGCATACAGTCAGTCATATTTTTGTTGAGATTTAAAAAGTTAAGTGCCAGCCATGATTTCAAGTCTGTCAGACAGTCAAACAACAGCTGTAATGACATCCCTCTTGTTGCCTTTAACAGTAAGTAAATCTGAATGTCATCAGCATAACAATGAAAAGAAAGGCCATATTTCCTTAAGACAGATCCCAGTGGGAGCATGTACAATGAGAACAAAATGGGACCAAGCACAGATTCTTGGGGGACACCACGGGAAAAGATTGTTGAGGAGGACGAACAGGTACCAATATTAACATTTAAACTTTTATTGGTGAGATAAGATCTGAACCAGTTAAAAACAGTACCTTGAATTCCTACACACTGCTCCAAGCAAGATAAGAAGATTCCATGATCCACTGTATCAAAGGCAGCAGTGAGATATAAAAGCACCAATAAAACCAAATCCTCTGCGTCTCTAGCCAACAGGATGCCATTATTGATTTTTAATAATGCAGACCTAGTATTATGTTTTGACTTAAAACCAGATTGAAATTGCCCCTCAATGCCATTGTCTGTCAAAAAAGACTGGAGTTGGATAAAAACAATCTTCTCCAGAACTTTAGACATAAAAGATAATTTAGAGACTGGTCTAAAATTACAGAATACCGAAGGGTCAAGATGTGGCTTTTTGAGAAGAGGCTGGACAATCGTTATTTTTAAAAGCATCTGGAACTGAGCCTGTCCTTAAACATAAATTAATTAAAGCCAGAAAACTAGGCCCAACAGAGTCAAAAACATCCTTAAACAATCTAGTTGGCAAACAATCCAAAGAACAATGAGATGCTTTCATGTGGTGAACCAGTTCAGAGAGCATAGGCAAGGATACAGACCCAAACTGATCAAAGACAGCAGAATGCAGAGGAATATCAGATGGGCCAAGATTAGTACAAGTGGAAGACTGTCTAATGCTAATAATTTTATCAGTAAAATATTGAAGAAAACCCTCAAATATGTGTCGGGATGAGAAGCAAGGTTACACGAGTTGATAACAGAATTAATTGTACTGAACAAGACCTGATGTTTATGACAACTACTGATGACAATGGTGGAAAGGTAGCTCGATTTGGCAGATTTTACAGCTTTTACAGCGCATATTCAAAGTGAATGTTCTGTTAATCTAGTAGAAAGCACAGCTGCTGAGAGGGTTCGATCTGATTCAAGTCTACTGCCTTTTGGCCGTAAAAGATGCTCAAAGGCACAACTTTAGTTGATCACATTCAATAGTAACAGTAATAATGTGGTACAAAGTTGCTGGTGTGTGGGAAAGAAGATTTTAAAAAAGAGGCAGAGAGAGAGAAAAACCCATAATAGGGTTAAGTGATGGTGTGAGTGGGTGTCTTTAGTAGATCTGACAGAGAGGCTGAACTGGACCACATTTGCATAGCTGATTTGCAAAATGAAAATTTTCCAGCAGAAATATAAGAAGGAAGCAGGAAGAGAGATCAACCCCATAATCCAGAATACATATTACACATCATGTGACATGAACATTTGTATAGTCACAACTGACAATAAAATGAAAAGGTAATTTTACACTCAGCACTTAGTGTGATTCCACTTGCCATGACTGAGTATAATAAAAAAGATGATTACACTGTAAGCACATTACAAATTTATCCACAAGTGCTGAGGGTAATAATGGTGATTCATGATAGGGGTGAGGACCAGAAGACCTTAATAAATTGTTCACATTTTCAAATAATCATCCCTGTCCTGTTTGATCTAAATGTAGGTTTTGAGAAATAAATGTCAAACTGCAATTTTTTTCTTTGTTTGTTACTAAAAAACCTTTGATTGCACAATCTTGGTAACAAAATATGTCATATTATGGATGTCAAAAAGAGTATTAAGCAAATGGTCATAATGATATCAGACAGTAATAAAAGTATTTGTTACTTGACATGTTATTTTATGTCAATTTGTTTACAGTTTAGAGGTTTTACTTTACAGTTACAATTTAGTGTGTGAGACATTCCAAAAAGTAATGATTCTCCTATACACCCGATAGCACATAAAAACATTAATATCAGTGCATGAATTTATCATTCATGTCACTATAGGTTAAATATGTTGTCAAATACACAATGTCCACAATTTCTATGTCACTAACTAAATTTATAATCAAGCAAAGCACATACTCAGACTGGTATTGTGATTTTGCACAGCAATTGGTAACGGTATCATAAAAAATAATAAAAAGGCCTACCAGGTAAATAATTAGGATAATGATAGTATATTGGCCAAATGAATGAATTATTTTACGAATGATAATTCAGACCATTACATGTCAGAAAATAGTGGAAAAACGCCCACAAAAGTTTCACATTAGCCAAACTTGACATTTCCAGATTGCTTGTTTCCTTCATCATCGGACTCTTTACGTTTGCCTCATCTTGAAAATAAAATTCACTGAATTTCACAGATAAATGTTTTATAGAATTTCATATGACTTTTAAGATTTTGACAAAGGGTAATCAGCAAAATCTTATTTGTCTTTGTTTCTCTGGCTAGATGGGACATATTTATCTGACCTTTAGTCCTATTATGTGCAGATCTTTTCTAAGAAATTTTAAAAAGTAATTTTGTTAAAAATATTTTTGATACATTTTTGCATTGCAAACCCATATTAAAAACTAAAACCACAAATAAAATAAAACTTTTCATTATGTTTTTTTGACGCAAAGGCCTTTGACCTTTGGAGCATGAACAATTCAAGCATTGACCTGATGAACACTGGTTTATGTTTTAACAGTCCACGCGGACGAAAGGTAAATTAGCACAGCAGCTAGCTAGGTAGCTAACTTTAAAGTCAGCTCATCTGTTAATATCAACGCACTGCAGGGTAAATAAACATTTAATTATCGTGTAGATCAATGAACCCATCATAAACCCAAGTAGCCGACTAGTATACAGTCATTATCTTATGCAGTTTTTTTGTTAAAACGTGGGTGTATTGCTAGCCATAGTTAACGTAATTAGCATTAAAGTTAATTTGCCAGACGTTAGCTATGTGGTGGGACCAGGAATAAGAGAGTATATGACAGGTCCGAAATAATCGGTTCGCGTTTTAATTTTAGCAGGTTTCCAGGAAATACCGACTTATCGACATCTGAAAGCATGACAGATACTGAAGATCGGATAGAGACCGAGCTCTCACCATCAGGACAAGGTGCATTTGAAAGCGGACCGCAGGAGAGCCTTCAGAGTTCTGGGGGGGAAGGTCATCTAATCTATCTTATATGTATATATCTATACAGGATTGTAGCTTTTTGTAATTTTAAGATATTAATTCTCTAAACTTTCACTTTAAATAAGTCCAAATCAAACATCCACAATCATTCACGACACAGTCACTTAAAAACATATTTTTAAGTTACC